AAAATTTTCCTAGCCCTGGGGATCGCGAATTAAAAAAGGTTGACCATATTAAAAATGGGGTAGGCCACAGATGGCCTTGCTTGAAGCACATCACCACTGTCTGACCGGAAGCCTTCAGGGTTGGCTTAGGTACTAGGTCAGGGCTTCATGCACAGTGTCTCCTGAGATGACTGCCCTTCTCACTTTTCTTCACAGTTGGACCACCTGCGACTATGGTGCATCCTTCACCTCCTGCACCATCAGCATGATCCTGCAAGAGCTGCAGGCAGAAGCGACTGCAGGACGACCTTGCAAGGGAATATCTTGAGTGCTTGCATGCCTTCCAATGGAGTTTCAAGTGGGAGGACCAGAGGTGGCTCACCGACCTGGAGGACCGCTGTGCTGATCAGAAGCTGTGCCACACCATCTGGGAGCAGCTATCTCGGCAGCATGAGATGCTGTGCGCTGCATTACACAGTACTGTGGAGTGCCTGCTTGCTGCCATAGAGCACTCCAGTGGTCACCCTCCAGCACCTGCTCCTCCCCAATCCCTTCAGAACTAACACCCGCCCCCCGGCTTCTCCTCCTAGCACCCTGCAGGTGGAGGGCCATGCATGCAAGGCGGTGCAAACTCTTGGGCAGCTGAGGTGATCTGAGGTGCCCAAAGCAGGTGCCAGTCCCAGCCACATCCTTAAACCCTTCTGACCCCTGCTCTCCCTCTCCTCCCCACACCAGGTTCTTTCACAAGTCCCTCCCCAGTGATATATTCCCCAAATAAAAATCACTGAGTTCATTGTTCCAAAACAAAGCATGCATGCAAGGCGGTGCAAACTCTTGGGCAGCTGAGGTGATCTGAGGTGCCCAAAGCAGGTGCCAGTCCCAGCCACATCCTTAAACCCTTCTGACCCCTGCTCTCCCTCTCCTCCCCACACCAGGTTCTTTCACAAGTCCCTCCCCAGTGATATATTCCCCAAATAAAAATCACTGAGTTCATTGTTCCAAAACAAAGTGTCTGGTTTATTTTTTCTGCAGGGGAGGGGGGAAGGAAGGACAGGGGAAGGGAGGGAGGGGGGAGAAAAGGCACAGGGGGCAATGTAGAAGCCCTTTGTGGGGAGTCCAGGGGGAAGAGCAGGGCTTCCTAGATATGGATAGCCGGCTGATGGGCTTGCCGGATGGCAGCAGTGCATGACCATTCAAAAGGCCAGCCTCTGCCCCCTCCCCCCACCCTGGCAGGAACGTCTTCCCCTTGTTCTTGCACAGGTTGTGGAGAACACAGCAGGCCACCACCACTTGGGGGATGTTCCATTCATTGAAGTCCAGGTGGGTGAGGAGACAGCAGAATCTCCCTTTAAGGCGGCCAAAGGCGCCCTCCTCAACAACGCAGCACATGCTAAGCTTGGCATTGTACCATTCTTTGATGGGGTCAAGGTGTCCTGTGCAGGGCTTCATAAGCCAGAGGAGCAAGGGGTAGGCTGCATCACCCACAATGCAGACGGGCACATCCACATCCCCAACCCTGATGGGGCTGGTGTGCATCCTTGGGAACAGGCTGGAGTTCTAGAATATACGGGTGTTGTACGCCTTCCCCAACCAGCCAATGTTAATGTCTGTGAAGAAGCCCTGGTGGCCCATAAGGGCCCGCAAGACCCCTGAAACGCAGTCAGGTCCTGTGGTTGGGGGTCAGGATGGGGATGTGGGTGCCATCAGTGGCTCCCCTGCAGCCGGGGAAGCCCATGGCAGGAAAGCCACTGATCATGCGTCGCCCAGGGTGATGACCCTGCACAGCAGGATGGCGTTGATGGCCCTCACCATCTGTAAAAACATAGAAACACAGAATCATAGGGTTTCAGGAGCCCTTGGGAGGTTCCCAAGCCCCCTCCCCCACCAGCCACAAACCTCACTACCACCTCCCCGGCAGGGGCTTGTGAAGTCAGGACTGCAAAACCTCTAGGGACAGGGATCCTCCTCCCCCCCTCCCCCCACCACAGGGAACCCATTGCACTGCTTCACCCCCTTTCTACGACAATAGCAAGAGAGTCATACCTGCAGGGGCACAGCCTCAACGGTCGATGTTCCCATGCCAAACTGGTTCTGCACAGAGCGGTAGCTGTCTGGTGTGGTAGCTTCCAAAGTTCAATGGCGACCCACTTCTGGAGGGGGATAGCAGGTCGCATGTGGGTGTCCCATTGCTGCAGAGCAGGGGGGAGCTACCCAGAGAGCTCCAGGAAGGTGTCCTTCAGCATGCAGAAGTTCTGGAGCCATTGCTGGTCCTACCTCTGCTCCCACCAGTCGGAACTGGTCTCCTGGCGCCAAAAGCGGCAGTGCACAGTGTGCTGGGGAGGACGGAGGAAGGCACTGTGGGGTAGTAGGAGCACCAGGCCAGGGTGAGGTGGTGCCCCAGTCTGAGCTGGCCCAGAATGTTTTCGGGGGGCCTTAAATATGATTCATGCTCCAATAAGTGTAGATGCACTATTTTGATATAGAGCTGTGCTGTTTCGATGGGGATTCGTAGTATGTACGTGTTATTTCAAAATAGTTATTACGGGAGTTAATTTAAAATAACCTTGTAGTGTAGACATAGCCTCAGTTATTACAAACCAGGCCAAATGCAGTGTGTATAAGAGTGCTGTAAGCCTCACATCACTGCCAGCCTATCCCCACCACACACCACCTTCTCACTCTAGCTCCCTTGCACAGTGCTGGGATGACAAGAAATATGGCCCCTTAAAGGAAGTTCTAGAGACAGATTGTGGATGGACCTTGGGTATCAGGAGCAGTGCAAAGGACCAGAAAGGTGTTCTGACCCCTTGCACAAGCATCACGCCTGTTGTTTCCAGATAATATCTAGCTGCCAAGCTGCAGCAGCTTCATGAGTCACGCAGTGCAAATTATTAAGTGAGCTCTTTCACAGACTGCCAAATAACTTGCAGGTGACCACAAACTTGCAAGGAGTGACAGAGACACGCCCTTGAGTTGCACATATTGTGGCAGCTGCACGTGGGGGAAGTAAGTGCATGCTGGCTAGGGCTCCCTGTAAACTGGGCACTTGTGCAGCTGCTCTGAAGAGATTCCAGTGCCACCCAGCTGATGAGCAGGGTGCCCACAGCTTGGTTTGTGTTTCTGCTGGTGGTGCACATTCACACATACCTCCGTGCACATAAAAAAATGATTCTGCACATGGATGGAAAAAATCTCCCAGTGAATGGAAAAGATTAGAAGGAACATCGGTGCTGGAGAGGGTCTAGTGGGATTCTTGGGTGGGTGCTGATGTGTCTGGGAGATCTTGGGGGAGGTGAGGGCATGATTTGCAGGTGGAGGAATCTGGGAGGTATCGAGTGAGCATTTGGGTAGGTGCTGAGATTCCTACAATGTGTGATTGAAGTACCTGACTTTCTGGATGCTTTTAGTAATGCTGCCAGCTATTGCAATTTTCTTGTGCATCTCAGAGTCAGTGTTTTTCTAAAAGCCCTAGCTCCTGGAGTTCAGTGACTACAGGACAATCTTGCACCATGCAAGTTGGCATCTAGGACAGCATCTGGGAGCATCGACTTGCATTGCTCATTATACACATATTTAATCAGCAAGATGTAATGTGGCAGTTGCAGAGAAAAAACAGAACATCTGAATCTTCAAGGCTCAAACACCAGAAGCCAAAGAAACAGACCCAACATTTATTTTTAAAAATCCAGGGATTTCCCAGCCCATCTCGTGATTCTTGCACACTGCATGCTGGGTGTAAAGCTTCTGCTGTCTTTCCAGCTCCAGATTTGTGATTGGGCAAGACTAGCATAATTACCTGCAGCAGGGACCTCCCCACCCACAACCATAGCTCAGCAGGAGCTCCGTCTATAATTTGAACAAGGTGTTTTGCTGCCAACCCAGAGTCTGTATTTGGAGAATTTAAATCTAAACAAGATCTCACTGGTGCCAAAGAACAGCACCTTCCAGGGTACCATTTGCCCTTCTTGTGTCTCTCTCAGTACAATAATTGATGGGGAAAGTAGGAGATTCATAAATGACCCGTCACAACTTGACAGCAGGAGGGTTCTCACCCACCAGCACAACCTAAGAGAACACCTAAGGCGTCAGCAAGTGTAGTGCTGATAGGCGGAATGGAACCTGGGGAGCTTTGTACATGAGCCTCTACACTTGAGCTAAAAGCCAGTTAGCTCTGAGCTAAGGCTGCAGAGCACACTCATTCTCTCTCTCTCTGCACATGCTCTAAGTGTAACTACATGGGACATTGAACCACACCCAGTAGGTGTGTGGGTTACACAAGCAACCTTCAAGAAGAAATTGAAGATGGTGAAAACTCCTCATGTTGCTACAAACATGGCGCTGCAAACCTACTGCAAAGCTCACTGCTCTCATTGTTACATCCAGCCCTGCACTCTCCTCTACAGACTGAAGAAGAGCAGCTGGGACTTCGCAGAGTGCAGAAACAGAGTACTCCAGAACACCTACTACCATACACAGCACAACACAATCATAAAACGTAACACATACATACCTTACATCCAGCACCACATACTACACAATCTTTTTATCCCCTACCACAACACACACAAAGTACACCTCCTTCAGCATAAACATACCATGCATTCAAACATCACAACAGCAAGCACAACGTAATCAGGCATTCAAAAGGGAACATAGTGCATATTTGGACCCCTTGCACCAGATGCATGGGTGTCCTGTGCAGGACAGGGAGAGAGTACTTTGAGCAGCTGGCAACAGAATTGGGACTGGGTGTTGAATGCCGCCAGCCTCGGGGTTAGTGTGTTGTCTAGATTAGAACCTTCTGCTCCTTCCACAGCTGTGTTAGATTCTGGAGCACACACCAGAGCAGTTAATGAGCCCTACCACCTTACCAACGACTTTAGGCAGTTTCTGGCGATGCAACGGAATTCGAGGGAGTTTCATGCTAATTCGAGTGAACCGGCCACACAGGTGCCCAGGAGATTTCTTGCTTGCTGCTGGGTCCTGGTTCGCACTGCAAGAAAAATACTGTGGCTGCTGTGTTAGATTCTGGAGCACACACCAGAGCAGTTAATGAGCCCTACCACCTTACCAACGACTTTAGGCAGTTTCTGGCGATGCAACGGAATTCGAGGGAGTTTCATGCTAATTCGAGTGAACCGGCCACACAGGTGCCCAGGAGATTTCTTGCTTGCTGCTGGGTCCTGGTTCGCACTGCAAGAAAAATACTGTGGGTCAGTCAAAGAGCCGGTAGAGCATGAGCGGGTGCGGCTGCATCAGGCTGGCACAGAGAGCACACCAGCAAAATGCAGGGGCCCCAACACAAGTGCTTTTCTAGACACATTTCAGAATGGCCAAGCCAGGGGCATACAGCAAAACTCATGTTGAAGGTAGTTTCATTTGTCCAGAGAAGGCCCTAGGTCTCCAGAGAGGTGAGCAAGACCATCACTAGCACAGAATTGGAATTTTGTGAGCCAGCAAAGAGGCACTACCTCAGCCTAGGGCAGAGTCTTCAGGGGGGATTAATCAATCAATGGGGTGCCAACTTAGGCACAGGTTTATGCTTTTGGGCATGAGCAGCAAAACATGGCTTATAGAGAAGAGCAGGTCTGGGCCTGTACAGGAGACATGTGTGTTGACATCTGCACTCACTGCAGCTCAGTAAATCATTCTCGTGTGCGATTCTGATCTGCTAGGCATCTCACACTCAGTAATTTTCTGGCCTCTACAAATTTTGTTAATGGCACTAGCACCTGTATGACTGAATCACGGGGTGGAAGAGATCTCAAGAGGCAACAAATCAACAGCTCCATGTCTGATTGTGGATTGGTATCAAGCAGAGTGCCCAACAGTTGGTTCTGGGGCCGGTTTTGTTCAAAATCTTTATTAATGACCTGGATGGGGGGATGGGTTTAACCGTCAGCAAGTTTGCAGATAACACTAAGCTAGGGGGAGAGGTAGATACACGGGAAGGTGAGGATAGGGTTCAGAGTGATCGAGACAAAAGAAATCTGATGAGGTTCAACAGAATCCTGAACCTGGGACGGAAGAATCCCAAGCACTGATACAGGCTGGGGACCAACTGGCTAAACAAGTCTGCAGAAAAGGACCTGGGGATTACAGTGGGTGAAAAGCTGGATATGAATCAGCAGTGTGCCCATGTAGCCACAGTTAATGGCATATTATTAGGGTGCATTAGTAGGAGCATTGCCAGCAGAGTTAGAGAAGTGATTATTCCACTTTATTCAGCACTGTTGAAGACATATCTGGAATATTGCAGCCAATTCTGGGGGCCCCATTACAGAAAGGATGTGGACGCATTGGAGAGGGTCCAGTGGAGGGCAGCCAGAATGATTAGGGAGCTGGAACACGAGTTACAATTTGAGGCTGAGGGATTTGGGCTCATTTAGGGTACGTCTACACTACATGCCTCTGTCGGCAGAGGCATGTAGATTTGTTTGTTCAGCAAAGGTAAATGAAGCTGCGATTTAAATGATCGCAGCTTCATTTACATTTACATGGCTGCCGCGCTGAGCCGACAAACAGCTGATCAGCTGTTTGTCGGCTCAGCGCGGCAGCCATGTAAATGTAAATGAAGCTGCGATCATTTAAATCGCAGCTTCATTTACCTTTGCTGAACAAACAAATCTACATGCCTCTGCCGACAGAGGCATGTAGTGTAGACGTACCCTAAATGAGCCCAAATCCCTCAGCCTCAAATTGTAACTCGTGTTCCAGCTCCCTAATCATTCTGGCTGCCCTCCACTGGACCCTCTCCAATGCGTCCACATCCTTTCTGTAATGGGGCCCCCAGAATTGGCTGCAATATTCCAGATATGTCTTCAACAGTGCTGAATAAAGTGGAATAATCACTTCTCTAACTCTGCTGGCAATGCTCCTACTAATGCACCCTAATAATATGCCATTAACTGTGGCTACATGGGCACACTGCTGATTCATATCCAGCTTTTCACCCACTGTAATCCCCAGGTCCTTTTCTGCAGACTTGTTTAGCCAGTTGGTCCCCAGCCTGTATCAGTGCTTGGGATTCTTCCGTCCCAGGTTCAGGATTCTGTTGAACCTCATCAGATTTCTTTTGTCTCGATCACTCTGAACCCTATCCTCACCTTCCCGTGTATCTACCTCTCCCCCTAGCTTAGTGTTATCTGCAAACTTGCTGACGGTTAAACCCATCCCCCCATCCAGGTCATTAATAAAGATTTTGAACAAAACCGGCCCCAGAACCAACTGTTGGGCACTCTGCTTGATACCAATCCACAATCAGACATGGAGCTGTTGATTTGTTGTGCCCGACAATCTCACAGCTTTCTATCCACCTGACAGTGCATTTATCTAATCCATACTTCCTTAACTTGCTAGCAAAAATGCTATGGGAGACCACATAAAAAGCTTTGCTAAAGTCAAGGTATATCACATCTACCACTTTCCCCATATCCACCAAGCCAATTACCTTGTCATAGAAGGCAATCAGGTAGGTCATGCATGACTTGCCCGTGGTGAATCTATGTTGACTAATCTTCAGAGAGTATTCTGCTGACGGGTCTTCCCACCTGTTTCTTTCTGTTACCCTATCCCCTCTCATTATCCACCACCCCGACCTCACATGAGGCCTCCAGGCTTTATGCTCCAATACTGGCAGGGTTCACAAATCACATGCAAAGGTACAATAGCAAGTAAGTGAATTATTTATTACTTCGCTGACTGCCTCAGCTACACCAGCCTTGATAGCTGCTTCTCCCACAAACTCATGTAGTCTTCCATTCCACCCTTTGAACATGGGAAAAACCCTCCAACATTCATGCTTTTGGTGGATGTCTAAATCATGTTCTCTTATCACCTTTCAGGCCTCTCCTTAACTCCTGGCAGTGCTTTGTGTGGAAGCACAAATCCCACCACTTGAAATTGCTTCAGTGGGGATCACCTGTGGCTGCTGAGATTGTACATTTATGCCAGTGCATTGCCTTTACCGTCTCCCTCCTCTGCATGCTGTGTCATCACTGGGACCATAAGCACCCTTGTATTTACACTCTACACACTATTCTAATTATTTTAGCAAAAAATACATCTTGAGCAGTGTCACCAAAAACTAATAATACCCCAATCATCAATATGCTTGTGTCATGTATGTATGAAATGCATATTAAGAGTGATGAACATAAACTGAAATCATGGTTACAATGTATTTATACAAAGTCTCAGGCAGGGGCAATCTGGTTTCTCAGAGATATAGGACAAGTCAATATCTATAGCCAGGTATCATTAAAGTTGACTGGCAATCATCTGCCACATGGCCATTCTTTGGCAGGAACAAATTGTGATGTTATTGGATTATGTCATGAACCTACAAATT